AAATTTTATGACAATAATTATTATTAATCTCGTATTGGAATTGTTGACGTTTATGGTGAACTCCGAATATTTTCTGAAAATGTCTATTGAGATCAGAATAAGGAAAGGAAATTTAAGGAATCTTGAGATGACAATAGTCATGATATATTACCATGACAATGATTATATTGGTAATAATTGAGTTTTCGGAATTAATTGGAGTTATGACGTTAAAAGGGTGAAATTGGGAATTAATAAATTGGATGAGTATATGAGAAGTGAATTCTGGTCAGAATAATTACATCAAAGGATTTGTGATCTTTGTTGGATTTTTGGATGGATGAAATTGGTTTCTACGTGGTTTCGTTATTAAAGGGAACGTATTATGATTTTCAGAATAGTGGTGATTAAGAGAAAATTATTTAAACTAGAGCGTGAGTTCAAAGTGATTACCATGAGTAATTTTATCTTGGATTTAATTTGATTTACGTTTTATGATTAATTTTGAGAAATGGTTAATTGAGTATTTAATTGGAATATTGAAAATAGTCTTATTAATGAATCATGACGAACTATGATTTAGTTTGTACTTTAAGAAATAATTATTGAGAGATGTGTTATTAGGGGAGACCTTTTCAAATGAACTTTTGATAATCATGAGAATTATATATATGGGTATGGTCCTTAGAATGGTTTCAAGTGATTAATAGAAACTCATGAAGATGAGGTTATGATCATAATATATTTAGTTATTATTTTGATATAATTAATTAATGGATGATATGGATAAACCAATGTATTTTAGATTATATGGTTCCTATGATAAAATGATTTATGACGAATGAAATATATATTGTTCATGGATATGTATGATTATGATATGATGATGATGATGATGATGATGATATGGATATTGATTGCTAGTGATACGATTGATGTGTATGATTATGACATGATTAGAATATCGATTGGTATAAATGTGAGTGGTAAATATAAATATTACTGAGATATTTTGTGACAATGTTGATATGATGAATGCTTTGATTAATGATGATGTGGATGGGATATTATCATGATCGATTTGTATTTGATGTGTTAAATGATTTCGATGAGTGAATGAGGTATTGATAAAGTGAGTACTTGGTAGATTTGTCAAGTTGATTGAAGAGAATGAATTATTTATATCATTGAGAAGAAGATGATGATGATGATTATATTGAGATCATGCAATGCATCGAGTATGCATAGATGATGTGAGATATGCATGGACTGGGAATATCAATGGGACGCTATTGATTTCTTGGATCGATTGAGATATGATGGAAGAGAGAAATTGATATTGTTTGATCATGTTAAATCACATAGACATAGAAGGGCCTATGCCTACCCCTATGAGATTGATTGGGCTGCGGTCCTAATGAAAGGATTTATGATAATCCTAGATTGGATGAGATTGTGGCTTTTGATATAACCACTAAGATGATGAGCTCGAGCGGGGTGGGCGTATGGTGACCTTAGCGCGCAAATTAATAATAAATGGAGAGTCTGCATTTCATGCATTGCATATGATATATATGATGGAGACGATTTCCATAAAGGAAATCGTGAAGTTATATTCGATTGATGATTGATTGAAAGATTGATATTGTTAATTCCAAATTGGTGATTTGATTATGGATGAATGATTGATATGTTTGATGTTCAAATGATGACTTGACTTTGAATGAAAGATTGATATGATGGATTCATGAGTTGAGGTAAGTTTACGATTCTATGTCGATATATGACTTGATTCATGAAAGTCATACAATGAGGAATTGGGTTAAAGATGAATTTGGATTGATGACCTAGAAATAAATCTAGGGATAAATGAGATTTTCGCGTTGCATGATAATTTGTTGATGATGTGTTTTTAATCAACAAGATGTGATGATGTGTTGGCATGCTAACAATAGTTTTGCCGTATAGGCCAGGTCCACACACTCAGCTTAGTAGCTGACCCATTTTTCTTTCTAGATGTGACAGGTGTGATAAATTGAGGATGACTCTGGCACTGCACAATGATCGATGGAGGATTTTGATTTAAAAGGTTTTTTTCACCTATTGGTGTATTCTAGAATCCTTATTTCACGATTCGGGTTTTGAGCATGCATGATAGTTTACAATGGTCAAGCATGATTATTGACTTGAGTTGAGTATGAATGGAGTACATAAGATTGATAGTCTGGGTTTGGTGAATCTTGAACTTGACGAAGAGGGATTAATGAATTGAGAATATGATTTTTAGTAAATTGTTATGATGAGTTGAATTTTAAACATGTGAGAATGATGTGGATGTAAGTTGAGTTGGTATTTTGAATACGTAAACCCCGAGTGATTTCCGCTGCGCGGTTGAACCATCGGTTCGACCCATGATTTTAGGGTGGGGTGTTACACAAACAGTCAATGCGAAAATGAAAATGCTAAAGTAACAGAAATCACTTTTCTTCACCAACCTAGCCGTCCCCGGCAACGGCGCCAAAAACTTGACTCACTCCTACTGTCACTCTAGAAAATGGCCAAGTGTAACCACTTCCTAAAGCGTAGTATAGTGGGTTTGGGTTTTAATGTCAACCCGGGTCCTAGATGTGATGATTACTCGGTGAAATCTTATTATCTAGCAGTAAAACTTTAGTGCAAGTCTAAACTAACAAACGAGCAAACAGTTAAACAGGTGTTTTCAAGTCGAGAGAGGTCACCCTGATATGGTTCTCCCTAGACTGCAGTTAAGCCGGATTGCAATTTACCAAGTTCAGTTTTAATGATAGTTATACTGCGGGAGGTTCTTAAACAGCCTGAAGTCTCGACTAAAGGTCTCCAGACCCTCTCAATCTGAATCCCCAGCGGGCGACTAACCTCCACCAGAGTAAACAGATTGAGGCCCTAACGAACCAAACCTCCACTACCGAAGTAAATTCGGTACAGAATAGTGATTTGGCTTCTCGACTAAAGTCGCCAATTCACTACCTTCAATTAAGGGTGCTCTATCAACCTAGGCAAATATTCTCTTTCTAGGTTAAAGCAGAAACAACAGGAATTTGATCAGGATTCATGCCATTCAATAAATCAAACCTCAATTGAATATAATCAAATCATAGAATCTGTACTTGGGTTCATACAATCAGACCTAACAAACAAATCTAGGGTTCTTCATACCCAGATGAATAAGAAAACTACTCCATAGAGAGAGATGGAAAATCTAGCTCAGATGCGGAAACCATACTGTGAAGGATGATAATCTTCTTCTGGCGCTCAATCGGATCTTCTCCAAGCTCAAACCGGGCTCCAATGGTGATGAAGATCAAGCTAGGGCACTTGGGAACTCTGGTTCATCACTTTCTCTCTCTAGGAATCGCTCTGTCTCTCTAAAACTCGGAACCCCTTCTCCTTTGGCTAAAATCTGCCTAAAAAGGCCGACCCTGGGCAAAACACGGTCGAGGGCACGACCGTGCTTTGGTTTTGCCCGCCTGTGCCCTTGCCACGTGTTAAAAACACGGCCACACCTTGGGGTAAAACACGGTCGTGCCTAAAGTTGGACACGGCCGTGTTTTGAGTCAGTCCTGCCCGTGTTTTGGGCCAGCGCAGGACAATCTTGGATCAAGCCTCGGCAGTAAAAACACGGTCCAGGAACACGGCAGTGCTTTGATTTAGGCGCGCCCGTGCTTTGGCTCCAGCTCAACCGAATGACTTCCAAATGCCCCGAAACTCGTGCTTAGCCTTTCCTTCGACGTCTGGGACCTGAAATATGACAAAGTAGCACAACCCGTCATAAAATAGGCCAAAACACACGACTATGCCCCGCAAATGGATAAGAACTAGGGGTACAAACATGTGCAATTACATCGTTATCAGCCGCCACAGTTCAAAACCGCTGCAATTTGGTGCCTCTGCTGTTGAAGATCGACGATTTGCCTCCTTCGCCGCTAAGCTAAACTCGCTGCCTTTCATCGCCGAACTACTAACCTTTGTTAACAAAATCAAACCACTTTGTGTGAAAAAAGAATGGATTGGAGGAAAAAAATTGGAGATTTTCGTTAGAAGCTCCATTTGATATTGAAAAGAAAAGAAGTGGAGATTCAATCGGAGAGTTTAGGGAGAATGAGCTGAAAAGGAAAAAAGAAGAGAAATGGACAAAGTGGGAAGAGATTAGCACGCAACGCATTATTCTGAAATAACACGGGGTATGGTGTTATTTCAAATAACACGTTTTCTGTTATTTGCAAATAACCCGGCCCTAAAATAACTTATTTAAGTTTTATGAAGTCAAACGTGGTATTTTGGCCCAAATAAATCATTGTGAGTTATATGGGCCGAAATAACTCACCTAAATAACCTATCCAAACGACCCCTAAGTTTTGATTTGGGTGTCCACCCAATTGCATTTTTACTATTTATTTTCTTGAGTTACTCTCACTATTATTGATAGATGACAATTTAATCAATGTAGTTTTTATATGTGAAGGAATGCTCATGATGAGACGGGTATGAGTATGAGGCAGGGAGGCTAAAACCATATCCACCATATACCCATCAAACATTTTGCGGATTTTACTCATACTCAATAAAAACAAAAATTTCCTAGATTAACTGGAAGCTATTGATACTCGCAATCATGGATTTGATTTTAATTTTTTTTTTTGAGAAGAACCATCCCTAAAATCAACCCACTCGATACTTGTACTGTTGTACACCCCCCCTCCCATTTTTTTTTATTAGAGCCCTAAAGTCAGAGCCCAATTCCTTGCGAGCAACCTTCAAGCGGGAGAAGTGAAAACCAATTCACAATTTGCCACCATTTCCAAACCCCAAAAACTCGAAACCCTTGGCTCCAACTTTTACCGCCAAAACCATTCCCGCCATTCACCAACCGCGCGCGTCTCCCCGTCCCGCCAGATCCCCAACCCTAGCTCCCTTTCCTCCCATTTAAACCCAAACTCCATTCTCCCACACAGCAAATGCAAATTTCCTTTCCATCCTAATTTCTTCGCCACCTGCTTGTTAAAATTCCCCAGAGAAGCCGAGGATTTCCCTTTCCTTGGCTTGTGCTACTTCCGATCATGGTAGTCGCTCTCCGTCCCGCAAACTTCTACGGCAGCAGCCTCCCTCGCCCTCGCTTCTTTGATCACACAAGCCTCCCTGTCCCTCGCATCTTCGATGACGTAACTGAACGCTTTGATCCTCCTGTCTCGGTCATGGATCCTCTCCTCTCCTGGGCTCAAGAGGCTCACTGGTCCATGGGCGGTCTCAACACCCAGCGCTTCCGCCTCCAGGGTCGCATCGAAGGCAACGTCGACAGGCTGCGCAAGTTCCGGGAGAAGCAAGCCAAATCCCAGACCGGAAATACCCCAAAGAAGCAGCAGAACGATGTCCTCCCACTTGCCGCCGGTGAGAAGAATCACAAAAGGGCAGGCTCTACTTCTCCACCTCCGGCGCCTAGAGTGATGAAGAAGAGGAAGTTCATGGATCTATTCGGGGATGAGAGTGAAAGCGAAGAAAATGAGCAGATGGGTGCCTCTGATAAGAGTGAAGGAACCAGGGGTAAGAAATGGCCGGTGAGGAAATTGGTTGGGGAGTTTGAGAGGGTAGCCATGGAAACTGAGGCGAAGAAAAACGAAGGCAAGACGCAGGAATCAGTGGAATCTGTTGGAGTGAGGACAAGGAGAAGTGGGTCTGAGAAAGGCAATGGCAGGGCTGGTGATTCGGTGATGAAGATTGTTGAGGAGTTGAACAAAGAGGGTTCTGCAAGGAAGAATTCCAAGAAGAGATTGAGAAAAGTTGGGGAAGATGGCCAGAAGATTCCTGCTGATGCTGGAGGCAATGGTGGGAGTGTTAGGACTTCGCCAAGGTTTGCAAAGCTAAAATCAAGCTAGATCCGATCGTATGTTTAGGACTGATATGCTATCTTTTCAGTGATTTAGGGGTTTTCCTTGCTTGCTTCTCTATGATGAATCAATGTTTATACCGAGTATGTAGCTTTAGTTTTGGCGAACCTGGTAAAATGGACAGCCCATCTTCTCCACTGTGCAAGAAGTATCTTGGCACCAAGTCATGCAACTCTAACATTGACAGACTCAAATATCCAGTAGCTATATTTTGGTATGAATTCACCCCATAAGCTGAACTGTTATGATCAATCAATCCAATGTCTTCTCTATTATCATTGTAAAAGATTTTGCAGCAAAGCACCTAAATATCAAATCCAATCTCTCCTCTATGATCATTTTAGAAGATTTTACAGCAAAGCACCCATATTGATTTCATGATGACCTCTATATCTAATTCGCCCGTGCTGCCACATCTGTATAAAATTCAGAGGAGCACAGCTAGAAGCCTAAAAGTGAATGTGTTCATCTTATACAGAATTGTGCACACAAAAGTTTGGTAAGTGTTGAACTTCAAGGTTGTTGCATCACTGTTTCTGCAAACACAGTTCTTTCAAATTTTGGCTCTCTTCTATGGCACCTCGGAGTTTTGCCAACTTGCATGATTGCTCTGTTATCAATTTATATGTTGATGCCCTTTGCCATGGGACGATACCGAAATCATCATTACTCTCGTCCATGTCTTCCACAAATAATTGCCACATCAAAGCACCACCTCCAGCTCCCTTTTTCTGAGCAGATTTGTATACGATGTCATAAACTGTTTTGTATAACCAGTCACGTTGAGATGGTTGGAAGTCCTTGTTCAGATTAGACAATCCAAATTCGGTGAAGAGGACAGGCTTGTTCAGCTCATGGTGACCATCTTCGATGTGTGAGAGCATCCACTTCGAAACAAATGTCAGTTTATCCTCAAATGATCGATGAGCAATCCTAAAGGCAAGACAGAGAACAAATTTTCAGGTCTAGATTAGCATGGCTTCATTTTTGTCACTTCAAAGAGTTGTCTGATAAACAATACTAACCAATGATCAGGGTATATATGAACGGAGGCAAAATCGATGTGTGAAACCTTTGAGTTGCTAACGAAATCAGATCCCAGGTCTGCAGCCCAATCTGCTGGATTCACAGTTAGTCTTTTGGGGTTTTTAGGACCATAAAACCCTTCCAGCCCCACTGTCAGTAGATGATTCTTGTCGATTGATTTCACATAAGCCGACATTTCTTCAATCCAATCCTGCAATCAGAAGTCTCATGATGTTAACCACTTTCTTAGAAAAAATAGACTCAACTGCTTCCTCCCCTTCATTTGCTAAGCCAATCTTCTAGTTACAACTTACAAAGGAGGCAAATGCATAGAATTGACAAGTCTTTAACTTTCTGAAACTGTATTCAATTAATCTATGAACTTTTAGCCAATCTAAGGAAGTTCAACTTAGATTTGAAAATCGTTGCAACAAACCTATTTTCACAAAGATCACATATCAAAACCCATTGTTGTTGGGGAAAAAAGCAGTCAAGAAAAGGAAGTAACAAACTTTTCCATCCTGGTCTTCCAGAAGGCTTCAAAGGTCAGAGACCTAAGAAACTTAAAAGTAGTATCAAGTTTGCATGAAGTTGATTCCTCAATAAGCTAATGGATAATAGTGAGAGTTCACTACTTACTTGAATAGTATCTCCAGAAGGATCGGTCATGCAACGGGGCTCATTCATCAACTCCCATGCAAATATGGTTGGATCATTCCTATATTCGACTCCCGTGACAGTGTTCTTCCTTGTCAGCATGGTCTGAAATAAGGACGCAATTAGACCTGACCATGCCATAAATTCCAAAGACTCGGTGGAAGATGATAGAAAACAGGCAACTCAATGCAGCAACAAATTCTTCACTGTTTTATTGCTATGGCATAACTGGTAACAGATAAGCATCTCAAGAATGACGGAGTAAGATACAAAATGCCCCACGAAATATCAACTAAATAATGGCTGTAGATAAAGTTGAGAAATAAGTACCTGTAAATAATGCTTAAAGTACTTTTTGATGGATGGATCATAGAAGAAAGAATCATTAGAAGCGCTCAAACCAATGCCTTCTTCCCATGCCCACTTCACATATCGATCCTTCCCGCCATATGCTTTCAAGTTATTGACTAAACTAAGAAGCAGCCTAACTTTATGTGCTTTCGCCTCAGCAATCACATGATCCAACGCCTGAAGCAAAATTAAAAGATGAAGCATGAGATGATAATGACAGATTACAACAAGACGTGACAACAAGCATGGTAGATATAATAATTGCAGATTAAAATGGACTAACTGTCTCACTAAAGAGCAAATATGCCGAAAATGAATTGGCTACTGAAAGCAAGAGAAAAGACAAGGCAAACGTTACATTGTTCTTTCTGGAAAACCAGATCAGGAGAAACAACAAAGTGCAATTGAGACCCACTAATCATTGACAGAAGTTCCCTCTACGACCTCAAACAGACAGTTCTCGCAAAGAGCATTGGCGTTATCTTACCTGCCCCATCTACCAATTTTTAGAGCCAGTGCCAGTGCATAAACAAATCTGGAAAAAAGAAAAACTGAGAGAGAGAAGTAAACTCCAACTCCTTTAGACTGGCTTCAACCAACAATCAGATTTCAACTAACAATTGAGAATTCATATCGACGAAGAGATCATCTAAGATCAAAGCCACAAACCTAAGAGGCCGAATGAAAGGCTACACAGCATTGCTATATAATATAGCTAAAAGCATTTCATGACAAATCGATCTAACAAGAAAGGCAACAAGAGGAAGAGAAATGTAAAAGACATCATCAGCATGAAAAACGGGCAATCTGAATTTAAACATACCCGGAAAACTTTCTCCTCAAATCGGCCAGGGGAGACCTGAAGTGCATTGTGGGCGCCATCATTGAACGCCCAAGTTCTACAGACGGTGAGACCCATTTTTGAACCAGCCTCCAGCATTGCACTAGCCTTGTGTTTCCTCTGGTAATCGGCGGAATGGTCCATCAACCAATACGAATTCCACCCATTGATATAGAACGGCTTGCCGTCCAACAAAAACCGAGTCCCATTCCTCTGCACAAAACTCCACGCCGGCCCCACAGGATACGCCGGCCACAGGTCACCAAATGATAGATAAATGAAGACCACACATGAAGCAAAACCCAGAATTGGGATGAAAGGACCGCTCCCTCCCATTCTTCTTTTGCCCCAATACAAAATTGGTCCTCTTGTAATAGATTTCAGCACTAAACGCATGCAAACACAGCCGGAAAATCAAAGATTCCTCTTTTCCGTCCTGGAAAATGCTTTCCAATTCACCTGAAACTCCACAAGCCCTTAGTGGGAAAGCCCAAATTCAACCGCATTACTTGGTGCATTCACTGTCTTCTTCTTCGGCTAAGGTTGTGGGGATTAATGGAATGGTGACAAAGACAGAGGCAGATACACAAGCGAAATCCAGGATACCTGGCTCTTGTGCAAGAAACGCAGGTGAGCCGGGAAATCAAAGGAGAAATCGGCGAAGGAGACCAGACGTATGAGGATAAAAGGGAGAGCAGACCCAATTGAAAGGCCAGACAAGACTAGGAAAGGAAAGACCTTTAGAGAGAGAGAGAGGTAGAGGAACAATGGGGGTGGGCTGAATGTTGGTATTTGATTGTTGGTGAGAAATGTAGATCTGGAGAGGACCCTTTTGGGGAAATCCTTAGAATTTCAGCTCCCTCCCCAGCGAGATGGCTTCAAATTTAATATTCCAGAACCGACAAGCTTCAAGCTTCTTTCTACCGACACACTCTAGCCTCTCTCGCAGCATCTGCCAATAGGGCCAGAGTGGTCTGGATTTGGGATTTGGGTGCCTTAATCAAATCATCTTCTTCGCGATTTCCCTTTGATTCCTGCCCTTCTCAATGCTATGCTTGGACCAAAATTGTTGTAAGGCTGAGAAAGGAAGACAATTGGGAAAGAACGGAGAAGCTCATTATGACAATTGACAATTGTGGTGGGTTGATAATGGATGCTTTTGTCTTTGAGGTGTCTCTGTTTTGGCATGTAAGTTTTGTGAGGCTTTGTATTTTCTTTCCATTTTCTTGGTGGCTGAAATAATTTTTGGTACATTTGCCACCCGTATCCGGTATCCTACTGACCGGTTCAATCGGTTAGAACCGGTATAAATCACCAAACTGGCTGTAAAGTAGGGTTGGCAAAGAAAACCGACGGATCGGGTATCCACCCGAACCCGAGCCGGTCAACGCGGGCAAAACCCGCTTTGACTGGGCACGGGTCGGGCTCGGGTAAAACCCGAAATATAAATGATTGGGCATGGGCCGGGTGTGGATATTGTGATATCCGACCCATACCCGCCCGGAATAGAAAACCCTATGATTCCTAACCCCCGACCCAGACCCATCTCCCCTGACTGACCCCTCGTCTCCCCGAGACCCCAGCGCCCAGCGCAGCATCGTTCCCAAATCTCTCGTCTCCCCGAATCTCTCGTTCCCAAATCTCTCGTTCCCAGCATCGTTCCCAAATCCAAAACAATCATTCATCACTCATCAAACTTTCCCCCGAGTTAGCGTGCAGCGCAGCATCGTTCCCAATTCCCAATTTCTTCCCATCAAAGCTCAATCCTCTCGAGAGCCGAGAATCGACTCCTCGTCTTCTGTCTTCTCAGAGCCAATCAGCCTAGCAAACGATTCAATGCATCCCAATCCTCTGCGTCCTTCGACTATTTCTCTTTCGTTAAATGTTCTTCACAAGTCACAACTCACAAGAACCTCCTGCTCTTCTTCTTCTATCTCGTCACTTTGGCAACTACTGCAGCCGACCACTTACAGAGGTCAGATTCTCAATTTTTTCCTCTTCCTGCTACCTCCAAAGCAGTCAATTTCTTCCTTGGTTCAATTTAAATTTCTGGGTTCAATTTTGATTTCTTGAATTTAATTTCTGGGTTCATTGACGAAGCAATGACCCTCTGTTGAAATCTCGAAAACGAAATTGTTGTGGATATTGTGATATGGTGGATATTGTGATATTGTGATATCGAAGCAATGACCCTCTGTTCAAGTTCAGTTTTGATTTCTTAAAAATGTCGAGAGCCTCCCTAAGTTCAATCTTCTTCTGGCTGTGTTTTCAGGATTCTTGCAGGGTGGAGCAGCCTACGGTGGAGCTGTGTATGGTGGAGCAGTGTTGCATAGTGCAACAGTTCCTCTCGACATCAATCAGGGCGACAGAACCGAATATTCTTCAAGAGGTAATTTTCTGCTGCTGTTGCATAGTGTATGTTGCTGCTGTTGTATTAGTTAACTAGTTTAGTTGCATATTGCTTCTGTTGTAAATTTTCTGCTGCTGTTGCATAGTGTATGTTGCTGCTGTTTAATTAGTTAACTGGTTTAGTTGCATATTGCTTCAATGCTTCTGTTGTAAATTTGCTGGTGCTGTTGTTGCTAATTTACTACTGCTTTTGTTTAATATTTACACTTCTGTGCTCACTTGCAGGCAAAAAATGGCTCAAGAGGCTGCTGCTGTTGCTAATTCACAACCACAAAACCAACAGGCTGCTGCTGTTACTAATCCACAACCACAAAACCAACAGGCTGCTGTAACTAATCCAGAAGCACAAAATCCAGAACCCACACTTGCTGGTAATGATGAAGAGGTTCTGGATTTGGGAAACCTCAAGAGTGATGTGTGGAATCATTTTATAAAGATAAAAAAGGGAGAACTCATCAAGGCTAAATGCAACCATTGCAAGAAGTTGCTTGCTGGTGAATCTAATAATGGAACTTCGCACTTGAGAAATCATTTGAAGTCTTGTATGCAAAGGAAGATTCATGATGGGAAGCAAAAGGTACTCGGTGCTAACTTTGTCACTAAGGGAAAGAGGGAAATTGTTGCTACTCAGTTTAATGCTGCTGTTTCGAGGCAAGATCTTGCTGTAGCCGTTATTATGCATGGATATTCTCTGTCTATGGTGGAACACTTATATTTTAGGAGGTTCTTGTCTGGCCTCCAGCCCTTGTTTAGTGTTCCTACAAGGAATACTCTTAAAAGTGACATTTTTAAGATGTATGAGAGTGAAAAGAGTAGGATAATGAAACTGATTGGTGGTAACAAAGGGAGGGTTGCCATTACCACTGATATGTGGACAGCAACCAACCAGAAAAAGGGTTACATGGCTGTTACGGCTCATTATGTGGACCATTCTTGGATTCTTCGAAGTCACTTGCTTAGGTATGATATGTAATACGTAATTTCAATGCTTTCTTGTTTATTTTGTGAGAATGAGTCACTAACTTACTATTTTCCAACTGCTGTCTTTTCTGTTTTGTAGGTTTGCTTATGTTCCAACTCCGCATACAAGTAATAGGCTAGCTACAGCTTTGTTTGACAGTATGATGGACTGGAATATCGATTCTAAGGTATCAACTATAACCTTGGATAACTGTAGCACCAATGATTCTATGATTGAGAAGGTTAAGAATAAATTGGTGATGTCTTGTTTGCTTAAGGGGGGTGCTTTACTGCATATGAGATGTTCTGCACATATTTTAAACTTGATAGTTAAAGATGGGTTGGATGTGCTTCGAGATGGCATTGAAACAATCCGTGAAAGTGTTGCTTATTGGACTGCTACTCCTAGGAGGATAGAGTTATTTGAGGGGGCAGCAAAGCAGTTGGAGTTTTCTTGTGATAAAAAGTTGATTTTAGATTGTCCGACTCGCTGGAATTCAACATATGATATGCTGGCTGCTGCAATACCGTATGAAAAAGTGTTTATTAGACTGAAACAACGTAACTCTCACTATACTTGTTTGCCTACAAGTGATCATTGGGCATTTGCATCGATTGTTTGTGACAAGTTGCAAATTTTCAGTGAGATATCTGATTTGTTCTCTGGTACCAAGTATCCTACTGCCAATCTGTTCTTTACAAAGATTTGTGATTTGAAGTTAAAGCTTTGTGAGTGGCTTGTTGATGATAATGCTATGATTTCTATGATGGCTGAATTGATGTGGGATAAGTTCAAGAAATACTGGGATGATATTCATGAAATACTAGCCGTGGCTGTTGTGTTGGACCCGAGATATAAGCTTCATATTGTGGAATATTATTCTCGAAAGTTTGCAGTGGGTCAGTCTATCTTGGATGTGGTCAAAATCAGGGCTGTTTTGAGTGATTTAATCATAGAATATCAGTCTAAATTGAATAAGAATGTCGGGGCTGCTTCTGGTAGTTCGAGTGCTCAATCACTTGGTGGTTCTTCTTCCGTGGATCTCGACTTTCAGCTGTTTGTACAGCAAAAGAAAAAGTCAAGAGGAACACCTGCTCAAACTGATTTGGACAGGTTTTTGAGTGAAGAAGTGTTACCTTGGACTGCCGATTTCGACGTCTTGTTGTGGTGGAAGTTGAATGGGGCTAAGTATCCCATTTTGCAAGATATTGCAAGGGATATGCTTGCTGTCCCTGTTACATCTGTTGCATCTGAATCGGCGTTTAGCATTGGTGGTCGATTGTTGGATCCAACTCGTTGCAAACTTAACTTCAACACTATGGAGATTTTGATGTGTACTAAAAGTTGGCTTCAAAATTCGATTTCAATAGGTATATATTTTATTCAATTAACTTTTACTTATTTATAACTTATAAGTCATCTTTATATAACTTCTTTTTGCTCACTTGTATGAATTAGCAGCTGATCCTGGAACTTTGGAGGAGATTTGTGCATTGCTCGATAATGAAGAGAATGAAGATGACACAGAAGGTAAGTAATATGTCGTAGTTTTAATAGTATAATATATATTGCAATTGAAAATGCTCATGTATCTTCTTTTTTATTTATCTATGAAGATCAATCTTTGGTGAATCATAATTCGACCTATCAATTGATAGAAGACTAATGAATGATGATTTCTGGAGTTGGAGTATGCTGGAAGTTTGCTGCTGGAGTTTGCTGGAATGTTTCTGGAATTTTGCTGCTGTAGTTTTTTTGCTGGAAATCTGCTTGTTTGCTGGGTACATTGTTGCTGGAATTTTTTGGAGTATGCTGTAATCTGTCTGGAGTTTCTGGAATGTTTCTGGAATTTTGTTGCTGAAGTTTTTTTTGCTGGAAATCTGCTTGTTTGCTGGGTATATTGTATCTGGAATTTTCTGGAATTTGCTGGAATCATCTGGAATCAGTTTGCTGGGATTTATTGGAGGGTTGCTGCTGGACTTTTGCTGCTGTAAATTTTCTTGTTTGCTGGAATTTTGCTGCTGGA